GCATAGATTGCACCTGTTTGCCTCCCGGCGCGTTGTAGGTTTTTTCTTAACAAAGGTGACAAGGGGTAAACAGGTACTAGAAGCAGCTGTGCTGTAAGCAGCAGAGGGGTGAACAGGTACGAAGCAGATTGCGGTAAGCAGGTACTTGTCCCACCTGTAGATTTGGCTTTCCCCCCCACCCCGCGACCAGTGGTCGACCAGTAGAGGTTGGTTGTAGCACCTGGCACCCCCTGTACACCATGCGGGTGCGACCAGGCCTGGTTGGAAGGTCCGTCCAGGAACTCCCGCGGGTGCCCGTGCCAATGCTGGTAACCCCGTGCCCACTGGCATCACTTTGGGGCAAAATTGAAAACCCTATGTTGTGGGCCTGCCTCGCATACTTGCAGGTCGGGGATCTTCCCCTAGCAATCCAGACCCGGGCCAGTCAAGCCTTGCAGAATCCTGAAAGGTACTGCAAAATCCTGCACCCAAGCCTGGGTCAATGCGAAGGACCCTGCAAAATCCTGCAAGATCCTGCACCCAAGCCCGGGTCAATGAGACCCTGGCCCTGCAGGATCCTGCAAGGTCCCGCGCTCTGGCTGACCCCCGTTTGCATCGACCATCGCCTCTTGAGCCCCAAGCAGGATGTCGCCCGTCCCCCCAGGCACTCCGTTCGACCCGTGCTCGCGAGGGTCGGTCGCTTGAGCGTCGATCGAGTAAGACCCCCCCGCGCGCCAGTGGGGGGCCCCTCGTCCTCCTCGCCATCTCCCTCTTGCCCCACCTGCTCCTTCACGTTGCCTGGCTCCTCGGCCGAGCCTTCGCTCTCGCGGTTCTCTCCCTGGCCTTCCTCATCCTGCACCCCCTACTTTGTGAAGTCTCTCCGCCCCTGCACTTATTCCTCCCCCCTCCGCTCTCCACTTCGCAGTGAGAGAGGAAGAAAAAGAGGGAGAGAAAGAGAGAGGGCAGAACGCCCGGGGGCACGCCGGCAAGCACACGGTAGCGCACTCACGCGTAGTCTCCAAGCACGTTCGATTTGTACCAGGGCTTCCCGCTTGTGAAGGTCACAGGATAGCTGCTGCACGTTTGGCAAGAGAAACTTCGCCCACTCCGTGCGTGGCTGCCCGAGCTTCCTGACGAAGTTGTCCGTGATGAATTTGGAAGCACCGGGAGCAGGTACGGAATCGCGCAGCGGGTCACCAGGGTCACCACCAGCTGCTCTTCCGTATGGTGTGAGTTGGTGCTTCAACAAAAGATTTGTGAACAGTTGCTGTAGGGTCCTGGTGCGGTTTCTCGCGTCGAAAATGTGCAAGACCATTGAAAAGATCGAGCTTCCGTTGCTCACTGATGCTCGTGTGCCCCCACGCCCTCATGAGCCGATGAAACTCCGCAGACGCAATACCAAGTCGTCGGTTGCCTTCGCCTCCCGCCCTGCCGTCACTGCAGACGGTGGTTCCGAGGTGCGCCAAAGGTATCCGTAGCCGCAAAGTCCTCGCCCGCTGGCGGCTTGACATTACTGCGGCAGCCCAAGCGTATCAACGACAGTGCCCCCTGATGCAGATCCATTCCAAGCAGGTCCGCGGCATGTTGGACGACGCGGAGCCACTCTGGCATAAATCCTGCTGTCCGGCCAAGCAGTAATTAAAGTGCCTCCAGCGCAGAGTCACAGACCCACGCGCGCCGACAACTGCTGTCCGAGCCCGTCCTCTGCGTCGTGCACGCTGACTGGTATGGCAACGGGGAGGACAAGTGGCGACAGCGGGCAGCTTTGTGATGTGCCCGATCGCGGCGCCCGCTCGCCCGACAGGTGCACCAAGGCCCTCGCCTGGAACGGGCGCCCAGTCTGGATAGCAGCGACAGCGCGCTGGACAGCACCTGGGAGGCCGACGCGCTCCAGAGCCCAGAGCATGGGCTCGATGTTGACTGAACCGAAGGCCTGCTTCCAATCCAACGATGGCCTATACGCTGATATCTATATATATATATATATATATATATATATACATAGACATATACGCATACCAACTCCAACGGACAAGCCGAACAAGCAGCGGGAACTACACCAAGCGATAAGAAGACCAGCGAAGGCTGGCAAAAAAGCATGGCGTAACAATGGCCTACAGGCGGGGTCCTGGAAGACCTCAGGCTCAACCGGAAAGCGAGAAGATCAACCCAATCCAGCCTCTGAAACGCGGCGGGCGTCCTCACTCCGAGCGACGAGAAAGTCGATACTGTGGCAGAATAGTTGGAAAAGGTTCATTGGCGTGTAAGCCCCTGCGCAGTTCGGAATCTCCGCCCTTGGGACCTTGTCGACAAATTGGTGAAGGGGCTTTTTCAGACAAGGAGGTCGCAACAGCCATCCGCAACATGCGGGATAACCAAGCGCCCGGCGGAGATGACATACCCACCGAGAATTGGAGGCTTCTCACAACGAATACGGGAAGCCTCAAGTACGTCACGAAGTTCATCAGCAAATGTTGGACCACGGGGAAAACGCCGAAATATTGGTTCAAGGCCATGGTGACGGCGTTGCACAATAAAGGAAGTGCCGGATTGACAGAGAACTACGGCCCAATCAGCATATTGAGCATTGGATGCAAGATGTATGCGGCCCTTACCAAACAGCGGCTATCAGATTAGAGCGGCGACTGTCGAAAATCCAGTGTGGTTTTCGCAGTGGGCGCAGCCCGCAGGACGCCATTTGAATCCTACGCCGGCGAATCGAAAGAGAGCCACTTTGCAAAGGGAAGCAGAATTTGTCCGCCGTGACTGTCTGTTCCAAAAGATTTTGCCTTCTCCCCACTCCCCTACCCCTTTTATCTCTGTATATTACTCCTTTTCATCCTCCTCGTCCCCTTCTCCCTTCCTTTTCCTCCCGTCCCCCCCAAGCCTGTACCGCCGCCCCCTACGCAGCACGAGCTCGGCAGCCGCCTCGATTGACCTACCACTCGATGAGAGGCGCGCGCGCGCGGCGACCATCATCCAACAGGGCGTCCACAGCAGGACGCCTTTCTCATCCCTGAATGGTCTGGCTCCCAGTGCAGGGTCGCAGAAGTCATTGAAGTAAACAACTCTGTTGGGGCGGCTGAGCACCCGGGGTGCGCTCTGCTGTTTTCAACCATGGCTGCCCGAATCTGCCCTCCAACCCAGGGCCCTGGTAAGGAGCCCTGGGAGCCTGAAAATTGCAGGAAAAAACAAGGCCCGTTTCTCTCAGGACCCACTCGCGTCATGAACAAACACCAGCATAAACATAAACTGCTGGAGGTCCGCGCGGATTTCTTGGACCGGAGCGTGCTAGGGGCGGTGTCGGAGGCGCCGCCACGGGGGGGGTACGGTGCAGATCAAAGCAATCAGCGCGGACCTCAAGGAGCTTACGTTTGTATGTCATGGCAAGAGTGTTTGGGAGCAAGGAGAGACAGCGAGCCGCCAGCATCCATCGCACTCCCTCCAAGTCGCTCCCTCGACTCCGACAGCTGATGCTTGTGCAGTCGCTTCCTCTTCGACTCCCCAAGCAGATCCGATGCATTGTTTTTTCCCATACGGGGTCCCTGGACGTCCTACCCCTCGTCCCGAGTCGGACCTTGACGGCCACGCGAGGCCCGGCCAAGGCCCCCAGGAGTCGAACACTACAGACAAAAGTTCTAATTGCGTTGTTCAGCACAGTGAGGGCCGTACCACAAGAAACCATCCACAAGAAACCCAACCCTGAGGCCCCAGGACGTCCATTGGTTTTTGGTGTGGGAACGTCACGCGGTCCATCGCAAAAACCCAAGAAGCCCAGGACACCCTGGAAGCAAGCAAGGTGTTTCTTGGCATGGGCCTCCACTGTAGTCATCCTGAGTCGGATTTGATGGCTACGCGGGGCCCAGCAAAGGCCCCCAGGAGCCGAAAACGTCAAACAAAAACTTCGCACTGCGCTGGCCAAGGCGACGAGATAGAGCGCCTGGCGCCCCAGCTCCCAGCAGAACACGCACCCGAAGTGCCGGAGCAGCACCACGACGGAGCGGTCGCTGGGCCCCCACAGCAGCGGCAGCTTGACCGCCTGGCCCCAGCAGGAAGGGCGGCGCTCCCACAGAGGCCTCCAAGATGGGGTCGGAGTAGATGGGGTCGGAAGATCGCGCCGCATCGCCGATGCATCGGCGATGCATCGGCGACGTCGACGTGAATCAAATCGGGCTCCACATCGAGCCGCATCGACGATGCATCGACGATGCACTGGCGATGCATCGTCGGCGTCGGCGATGTATCGGCGACGTCGACGTGAAGCAAATCGGGCTCCACATCGAGCCGCATCGGCGATGCATCGACGATGAATCGACAATGCACTGGCGATGCATCGTCGGCGTCGGCGATGCATCGGCAACGTCGACGTGAAGCAAATCGGGCTCCACATCGAGCCGCATCGGCGATGCATGGGCGATGCGGAGATCCCAGAGGCCCCCCACAAGGGGGCCCACTGGAAACGACCGACCCATGTCTTCGGCGATGTGATTCCTTATGTTTTTCAACCGGCTGGTTCTCCTTGCCTTCGGCCTCCAAGGCCGGTGATCGGGCCTAAAGGCCATGAGGTGAAATCTCGAAATTCAGGTGATCAAGGCGAAAGCAGGTTGGAACATCATGAGTATACATGTCGACCGCCTCTGGCCAGGTCCTGCGAACTGCGAGCTGAGAGCTGTGAGCATGCACCGCGAAGGTACCGCAGGGAGGGGCCGAAGCACCCGGCATCGGACCTGGCCAGGTCCATCCTGGGCGCGTGCCTGGCCAGGGACAGCAGATCTGTGCACACCTCGCCGCCCAGAGAGAGCGGATAGAAGAAGAAACAACGCCATTGACATAAACTTATGGCGCTCCGCGCGGATTTCTTCGAGCGCGCCGCCGGAGGCGCCGCACGGGGGGGGGGTAGCGCGGATCCATGAAGTCCGAAAGGAGCGCCAAAAGTTTATGTTCATGGCGCTTTTTCTTGTTCGACGACGGCATGGTCTCGAGGACCGCTCCCCAGCGTCGCAGAGTCGTGGGGGCGCCGACGTGGGGCGCAGCGGACCCTCGCCAAGGCACGCGCGGGGCGTATATGAGCGCCACCAGCAGGGCCCGACCGCCTCCGCGCTGGGCGCAAGTGCGGCGCTTGATGCCTACGTATCGTTGGTGGGCAAGCCTCCCTTTAGTAAACCTCCCCTCAGTGAAAACGGCCTGGCACCGACACCGACGGACCCGGACCCGCAGAAATGACGGCCGCGACGCCCTCTCGCGAACCGAAGACGGCCAATGAGGTCTGCCCACCCCCGAGAGTAGAAAGCGGCCCCGAGGACCTCTAGGGAGGCACGGGGGAGCCCTGGGTATGTTCCTCGCCATCCTTTCCTTGGGTGAAACAGTCGTCAGCGAATCCGTCGCCGCCAGTAAGAGGATGAGGAGGATGAGGGGTGAACTACTGAGGATGTAGGAGGCACAAGAGAAACGCTGAGGACGATGACGAAGGATGAGGAGAAGCACGAATTGACTAGGAAATGGAATTTGGCGTAAGGCATAGCATAACACAAGCACGGGACGGCAATCCGCGACAACGACCCGACCTCATTTCCGTTGGCACGGGCTCACACCCATCACCAAGCACATCATTGCGCTCGTCCTGGTCGTTGCTGTCGCCGCCACCATCGTCGCCACGCGTGCGTTTCTGTCATCGCCGCCGCGGCCGCCATCGTCGTGGCCGTCGTCTTTGCCGCCGTCGCCGCCATCGCCGTCGGTCGTCGCCGTCGTCGCTGTTGCGTTGACGTCGCCGCGTCGTCGTCAGGCCCAGCCGCTCAGGCCGCTCAGCATCTCAGCATCCCCCACCATCCGCCCTCGAGTTGGGGCTTTGCCGCGTGAGCGAGACCTTCTCTCCCTCCTCCTCCTCCTCCTCTCCTCTTCTCCTCCTCTTCCTCCTCCTCCTCCTCCTCCTCCTCCTCCTCCTCCTCCTCCTCCTTCCTCCGCCTCCTTCCCCTTCCCCCCTCTGATTTCCCCGTCTTCCCTCCTCCCAAATCATCCTCCTCATCTATTGAATCCTCACCTTTCTCCTCCGATCCTCCTCGCGCCCCTGCTCCTTCGTTTGGCCGCGCATCCGCCATCCTTGCCCATCGGGCGAGGATGCGATTCACAGGGTAACTATCATGGCGCCGGCAGGGGGGTCAAGCCCCCCAAGCCCCCCCAAGCCCGTCCAACGCCGCCCTGGTTGGATCTCGGCGGCGGCGGCGGCGGCGGCAGGCCAGCGGCAGAAACGATGCAACGATTGTCACAACCACATACAGAAACTGCAATGAGAACGAAATGGAGGAGGAATCAGACATCCCCAAGTCGCAGAGAGACATCAACCCGAGCGATGCAGACTCTGAGGAGGTGCCCACCCCGTTGAGAACTGAATTTCGACAGTGGAAGTTCAAGCGGAAGTGCGACGCCATCGCGGCCTGGTCTGACCCTGTTCTGAACCAGCGGCTCAAACGCAGGAGCGATTTGAAGGGCGAAGAGAACCGCCAGCACATCATGACCTCAAACCCTAGCCGTAGTAGTAGTAGTAGTAGTAGTAGTAGTAGTAGTAGTAGTAGTAGTAGTAGCTAGGGCCTACTACTACTACGGCTAGGGTTTGAGGTCATGATGTGCTGGCGGTTCTCTTCGTCCTTCAAATCGCTCCTGCGTTTGAGCCGCTGGTTCAGAACAGGGTCAGACCAGGCCGCGATGGCGTCGCACTTCCGCTTGAACTTCCACTGTCGAAATTCAGTTCTCAACGGGGTGGGCACCTCCTCAGAGTCTGCATCGCTCGGGTTGATGTCTCTCTGCGACTTGGGGATGTCTGATTCCTCCTCCGAGTCCGAGCTCTTGTCGGACTTCTCCTCTTCCTCCTCTTCCTCAGTCCTCACCTCCTCTTCCTCTTCCTCCTCGGGCGTCACGTCCTCCTCCTCCTCCTCCTCCTCCTTCGCCTCCTCCTCCCCTTCCTCGCAGGACTCCTCGCCCTCCTTCAGCCTTTTCTCCTCTTCCTCGCCCTCAGCCGCCTCGCCTTTCTTGGCGCCCTCGCCCTCAGCCTCTTCCTCCTCTTGCTTGTCGCAAGTCTCAGCCTCACATTGCGAAGGCGCAGACTTCGCGAGCCAGGGGAGTTTCTGCGGGAATTTGCCCATTGAACCGACCACGGCTGCGAGGTCAATGACCCCATGGCCCCCATGGCTCTCCAGGCGCAGGGATGCGAGGTTCCGAGGGCCCCCCTTTTGCGAGATGCAACTGCGGTTTCTCACCTCATTCTCTCCCCCTCGTGCTCGAGTCCCAGGGGGAGGACAACTATCCAGGTCCTCCCTTGTCTGGTCTTACAAACCCCCATCTAGTCTTTCAAGTCTGGGTCATTCCGAGTCCTGGTGTTTCCAAGTCTACAAGTCCTGGTCTGTCCAGATCCTGGAAGGAAAACGTAAACGAGATCTCCAAAACCAGATTGTTGCCACGTCATCCTGCTTATCTCCCTCCTCTCCCTCATCTCCCTCATCCCCCTCTTCCTCCTCCTCCTCCCGCATCCCCTTCTCCGCCTCCTCCCTTCCTCCTCCTCCTGCTCCTCCTCTTGCTCCTCCTCCTCCTCCTCCTCCTCCGACCCCACGTCGCCCGCGACGAATCCCCCTTATGAATGTCTGTTGCGCCTACTGTGCACCATTGCTTTTTGGGCTCTGGAGCTCTGGATTGGTGGCTCGCGTCGGCCTGGGCCCAGCTGTCTGACGCGCGTGGCTGATGGCGCTGATGACACGCGCTGCGGCGGAGGCGCCAGCGCGAGCGCGAGCTTTGTCTGCTCTCTCACCCTCTCGCTTCTTCCCCGAAAAAAAAATGAAACCTGAAGTGGGGCACGCTTGCGTCGCGCGTGCACACGTCACTTCGGCAAGAGAAACTGACGTTCACTGAGTGTGAACCAGTGAACTTCCCAGTGAACAAATATGGACTTTGATGTCGCAAGTGTCCCTGCGTGTGCTCATCATCCTATTCCTCTTCTCCTGCTCGTCCTCCCGTCCTCATCCTCACCCTTCGTCCATCCTCTGTCCGGGAGGCGATGGCCATGGCCCATCCATGGCGCGCCTACCTACCTCAGGACCTCCGGACCTCAGGAGCCTACCTACCTCAGGAGCCTACCTACCTCGGGAACCTCAGGCGCCTACCTACCTCAGGAGGTGCTGGCAGTGGGCCCACTCCTCCTTGTTCAACGCCTCTGAGGCGTTGGCGGACCGAGGCGGCTGCGGGCGGGGGGCAGCGTTCGTCATGTTTTCGATGGGCCCGCGGGTTAGCTCCACCGCCTCCTTGCCAGGGATGTCAGACATCAGCTCAGGCTTGACGCAGAGGCTGTAGAACTTGACCTGCGCGAGCACGCGAAGGGAGAGCAGAGAAGGCAGGGGCGCCAGGGGGCCAAGGGGGGCCCTGTCCTCTCCTGCCCCCCTCTCCTTCCTCCCTCCCTACCCCCCTCCATTCTCCGTGCAACCGTTCCCCTCCTTCCCTCCATTCCTCTCCATGGTCCCTTCCCCCTCCCGTTTGGAAACACGTTGGCCCCCCATCCTTCTCCTCTTGTGCAAGTTGACTGTGGTTCTTCTGAGAACCACAGCACTCGTGAATTCACCCCACCAATCGTCGTCCTGCCCTCATCCATGTTCCTCCTCTCCCTCCCTTTAAAACCTTCAAGCCTCCTTGCCTCAAGCGTTTACTACCCAGACGGACTTCAATCTCATTTTTTTTCTCTTCCAGCAGCTCAGTGTAGGTGAAGGTGTACTTGCGAAAGGAAACGACGGAATTCATGAGTGCCGACTCTCCTGGCGACGCCTCGGCCTGGCTTTTCTTCTTGCCACCGCCAGCACCAGAGGGCGGCTTCGCCTCGCCGATCGCCCACGCAGGGCAGTACGCGCAGAGAGAATCAACAACTCCATACGGTCCAGGCTCGAGGTAGAATGTCTGCGAAAATGCCTGACACAACTTCAGGCTGCCAGCCCGCGGCACCATTGAAACAGATCCGAAGTAGTTCAAGTTAATGTTTGGGCTGAGGGTCTTCGCCAAGATCTGATA